CTTATAGGGAGATTCAACAGCTGCTGCAACCCACTCCATTTTCCAACTGCACGGTACCTCCGAAAGGAAATATGAGAAGAAAAACTCTCCAACCAGCCATTTTGGTTTCCTATTAGCAGCTATATGAAAAGTTTTGACAACTGAGGAATGAGAACTCATTGACTGTTAGCATGCAGTCAGCTACGTGTTTCGCTAATGAGTTTGTTTGAAGTGGTATGAGGGACAGAATGAAGTTCTTAATTGTATCCTCAACCATTTGTAAGTTTAATCTTGTTTTCTTTTTTATTTCCTTATAGATTCCTTTTGCAATAAAAATGACACCAGGTGCCTCTCAAATTCTTGCCAAAATAATTCTACCTGCAAGGAGTTTTCAAAAGACGACGACTGCCATTGTTCAGACATAGCCAACAATTTGGACAAAGACTGTGACAATGGAAAAAATCCTTGCGTCTCCAATCCCTGTCAAGGAAGTGCCACTTGTGTCAACACCCCAGGAGAAAGGAGCTTTCTGTGCAAATGTCCTCCTGGATATAGTGGGACGACCTGTGAAACTGCCGTTAGCTCCTGTGCTATGAACTTCTGCCAACATGGAGGTGTTTGCCATCAGAACCCTGTTCACCCCATGTGCATCTGCCCTGCTGGATATGCCGGAAGATTCTGTGAGCTAGATCAGGACGAGTGTGCTTCCAGCCCTTGCCACAATGGGGCCATGTGCCAGGACGGAGTCGATGGCTATTCCTGCTTCTGTGTCCCAGGATATCAAGGCAGGCACTGTGACTTGGAAGTGGATGAATGTGTTTCAGGTCCCTGCAAGAACGAGGCCACCTGCCTCAATGAGATAGGACGATACACTTGCATCTGTCCTCGTGATTATTCCGGTAAGTGTGATTACATCTGAATTCCAGATGATGAAATTAGCTTTCTCTTTCTTTAATACAGCAGGAGCCATAAAATGGTGACATTTTATGTCCCATCCAATCATTTATGAAAATGGCCAAGTTCTTGACAAGAATTAATCACCAGATAGAAAACTTCCTAAACTATTAAAAACCCACTAGACTCTTAGGTGGTTGTGTGCTGTCACTGTTGCTGTTTTAATGCAGCTCCACATGAGTTAGATTCAGTCTAGAATTGGTGGGCCCTGCGGGGCCTCGTGCTCCAGGTGAGGGCAGGTAGATTTCCTCAGCTCACGTCTGCCCTCTAATGCCCACAGCTCGGCATCGCAGCCTGCTGGGAAGGCTGGCTACAGGCCGGTGTGATAAGCAGATCACTGACCCCAGGCTGATGCAGCGTGCTACGTCGGGTAGATGTGACTCTATTAGGAAAGAAGCCAGTTCTTGTTCCATCTCTTGGAAAGAGATAATAATAGTACCTCATATTTATCTATTCG